CTCAGCTCGGGCTGGACTCGAACCGCTGTTGCTCAGAGCTCAAACTCTTGAGCGAGCTCTTAACCAACTGAGCCACTCGGCCGGCCCTAGTTTATATTCTCTTTTATTGCAGATGGGCATTCTATCTCTGTTCAAAGCCTTTTTGTTAAAAAACCATGTTTGCTTTTTCAGTTTCCATAACAATTAGAGAGAAGTTACCCCGCAGCATTGCTTATAAGGTAAATGAAGATTGGAATTAGATGTCATCTAGAGCCTATAGTTTCAGCCCTAAGTCAAACAATCAAAGGCTTTCTCTCTTGGTACCTCAGACCAATAGGCAAAGGCTGTGCTGACAAGCACAGGCAAATCTTCTGTCCCACTCCCAACACTGAGAGCCATGCCAGCTCTTCAAACGCAAATCACTCAGAAAACTGAAATATTCCATCCGCAGGCAGAGGACTAAAAGCAGTGAGAGAGCAATACCTGGATATTATTCAGCAACGTATTTAAAACAAAATATGAGAGCGTTTCCTCTCAATCTCTTCTCTAAGTATCCTGCAATTTTTATCTCATAACAAAAGAATCAAAATATAGTCCACCTAGAGAGAAATAGCCCCCCAGTATTTGCAGACCCTAAGCCAACGCCTACACCCATGCTATTCTTACTTCTTGGCCTGCACGCAGTTTCTTATCCTCATCTCCCACTAGGCTACCAAACACCTCAAACACCCAAGTAAAATGTCAAATTCTCTAGGAAACCTTTTCTGACCACTCAAAGAATAAGATTTGATAGAAATATTGGGTTGTCAGAAAAGTCATGATGTATTTTTTCTGTTTTTCGTTGCAAAAACGCGTCATGACTTTTCCAACAACCCAGAAGGCATTCACTAGTGATTTACAATATCAACTAAAATTACTTAGGATGTCTAGACTCACACCTGAGATAGTACTCCTTACATTTCCATGAGACAATCCACTTACTTTCTGCAAAATAATTGGGTTTTTTTTCTGGATTCAAATCCTATAAGCAAAAGCAGTTTAAAAAAGAAAAACAGAACTGCCTTTTTAAAAGCATAAGCAGTTTTGAAACAAATAGCAAGTGAAAAAATGTAATGGATGCAATTTCAACATTGACTTTACTCAAAGTGTGGTTTTAGGCTAACTGCTTAGACTCTCTGAGCCTGTTTCCTAATCTTTCATATGGGTGTCCACCATATAGGTTTTTGCAAGAAACAAATTAAATAAAATGTAAAACATCTAGTACAGTTCCTAACACATAGGAGGGCCACAAAAATCAAAAAACATTTTTGCAGTCTATCTCTTCTAGGATACACTTTGTCACTAGATTCATTCCTATAGCTAGTTAGTTCTCAGTCTAAACCAGTGTTGTCCATCCAATACAGTGGCCATTAGCCATATTACTGAGCAATTACTGAGCCTTTGAAACGTCTGGCTAACCTGAATTGATGTGTGTTTTACGTGTAAAAGGCACACCGTATTTCAAAGACTTAGTGAAAAAAATATAAAATATTATCTCAATATTGTATATTGATTACTTGTAAAGAGATAATGCTTTGGATATATTGGATTAAATAAAGTAAAATTAATTTCACCTGTTTCTTTTTACTTTTTTAACGTGGCTACTAGAAAATTTTAAATTATATATTTAACTCTCATTACATTTCTATTGGACAGGCTGATTTATACTTTGACTTCAAGCTGGTAAATATGCTCTTCACCATAGTGACAGGGGTTCAATCCGGCCAATCCACCGCTTATCCCAGCTCATTTTAACACTACCCACTTCCGCAACACGGGAAAGCTGACAACTTAATTGCTCTTAATTTTTAAAAGCATGGAGCGCACAGATCCGCCGAGGCAACTCGCAATTATTACCTACACAACAGATAAATGTCTTGAGAAAAAACCCAGAGTCCTCTCCTGTGGGTGTCGGTCAGCACTGGTGGGGGTGCTGGGGCTTTGAACAGAAAGGGGTCACCCTTTAGAAAATGAGAAGGGACGACGGAGCTAGCACCCAGATTCTGAAGAAGTGTAATATGGAGCCCATGGAGTAGAGGTCTGAGGAAGAACGCGTTTTCAGCTTCGGGAGGACGAGTCTGAGTGAGGCGGGTAAGGAGCTGGGCTGTGGCAGAGGCTGCAGGGAGGAGCGGTACCTTAAGAATCCCCCTCATCTTCGCCAGAAAGGGGCGAAACTCCTCGGGTGGCACCTCCGGATAGAGCTGGCTCCGCAGGAGCTCCTCGGTGATGCCCGGGTTCCCGTGGAAAGCTTCCTGGGCCAGGCCGTTCAGCAGCCCGCTCAGGGACTTGCAACTCTCAAGCTCGCCCGCCATTGTCAGCGGCGGCCCCGCCCCTCAACAGCTGAGCGCAGGCCGCCACGGCAGCCTGGATGGGCCTAAATAGACTGGGCAGAGGCGCGCGGGGAAAGTGGGAACGAAGTTCCACCAGTTTGGCTCTGCAAAACCCGTTCTCTTAGGTTGCCACCACTGAACTATTCATTGAGTTCCAGAAGGATCACTTTGCTTCCGCTGATTTCCTTCATCTTTCCACAGTCCACTCAAAGGAAAACACTTGGTGGAGATCACTTGAGATGGGTCAGCATCCCATAAAAAAAAAGTGGCAGTTTCAATTTTGCGTGGCTGCATCTCACCCAGGCCTTGCCATGGAACTATCACTCAGATCTAATTTCTGTCTAATCCTTACCTGTCCATCTTTCGTCCAAAAAAATTTATCTATCCCCTGCTAACATAATGTGTTTGCTTGGATTGTTACTTGCCTTTTTATATACATGTGACTTATTTTTCTTGCTAGATCAAGTGGCTCTGATTCAATGCTCCTTTCCATAATAAATATTTTGTCAACACCTTTTATTATCCTGAAATGATATGCATAGATAATAAACTGCCTACCCATATAATTTCAAAAATATCAATATATTATTGATTCATAAAAAAGGAATTAGGGCTCAAGAGTGCGAGCTCTGAGCAACAGGGCTGTTGGTTCGATTCCCAGCCTGAGCTGAGCTGCTGCTGAGCTGCCAAGAGGTGGCAGGATGGCTCAGCTAAAAAAAGAAAAGAAAAAAGGAATGAGGTACTTACACACGCTATAAAATGAATGAAACTTAAAAACATGCTTGGGNTCCCAAGCGAGTTCTTAACCATTGCGCCACTCGGCCGGCCCTATGATATATGTTTTAAAAGGATCACTAGTTTATTTGTCAATTATATCTCAATAAACCTGGAGGGGAAAGGATCACTGGTAGCTGTGCTGAGACTAGACTGTAGGGGGCAGAAGTGGAATAGGAAGACCAATCCATAAGTTGTTACATGTATTTCTAGATATCTAAAATAAGATCTATACATATTTTTAATTCAAAGTATAGAGGAAAAGAGAAATAGATAAATTAACTTTGATTGACAGATAACTAAGTATAGGAGTAAATCAACAACAGACAAAACAAAATCTAATAGAATTTTCATTAAATATTTTTGTTTAATATGAAATTTCAGTGAGGAAACACAAAATCATCAACAGAGAGCAGTAGTGAATACAGAACTTAAGTGTGCCAAAGATGATCTAGCTTTATAGTTAAGAAGATATTTCTCTAGAGTTCTAGTAAACTGGAATTAGGAGTATATGAGTACCCACATGGTTAACCCACATGAAATAGGTAGTGTGCAAACACATATCTATAAGAAGTTTAAATTAGAAATGTGAGCCAAAAAAATTAGATGCAATTGGCAGAGCATTTATACAGGATGTCATCTCCCTAACTAAACTCCCCATTCTCAAGGAGCTAACAAAAATAAAACTAGACCAAGTGAGTGGCCAGCTTCATTTTATCTACAAGCAGATGAAAAGTTTGCCATTTTGTGATCAATAAGCAAAGCTAGAGAGGGTCAATGTCACAGCCAAGTCGGGTAGGAGAGCTCCATTCCAAGTGGAAAACAGGGACCGGTACAAATGCCAGCACACCACACCTGGTCACATAATGTGAAGGTTGGAGGGAAATCCTGAAGCTCCGGGAGCACCTGAACCTAAAACATGGCCTATGAATGAATGCGGGCAGCTGGCAGTAAAGAGCCTATTCACTGCCTATTCTTTGCTAAGATGTGTATTCACTGCCTATTCTTTGCTAAGAGTTACACATTCCTTCTTTCCTTTCCTCCTCCTACCCCTGTGGTCCCTCTTCCTTTTACACTTTCTTCACAGAATTTGATTTTCTATAGGTGACTGAAGGTATGGCCAGCCACCAAATGAGGATTGAGGTACTATTACTGCTTTTTTATCATCAGTTCATTTCCCTTTGCTTAGATTCCTTCATTTTTTCTTTAATATTTTCCTCACTGCTTTTCTTCTAGCCTGCATGTTGAATTCAGGATTACTGAGACGCTACACAAAGAAAAAAATATTTTGACCTCTGCTGTCATTTATATGTAAACATATACCCTGCCCATCTCATACTCACTAGGACAGCTACTACAAAAAAACCCAAAACAAAACAGAAAATATCAAGTGTTGCGGAGGAAGTGAAGAAATCAGAACCCTTGTGGAATATAGAATGGTACAGCCATTGTGGAAAACAGTATGGCAGTTCCTCAAAAAATTTAAAATAGAATTACCATATGACCCAGCAATTCCACATCGGGCTATATTCACAAAATATTGAAAACGGGGTCTCAAAGAGATATCTGCACTCCTGTGTTCATAGCAGCATTATTCATAATAGCTAAAACATGGGAGTAACCCAAGTTACAGATGAATGACAGATGAATGGATAAGCAAAATGTGGTATATCCATACAATGGAATATTTTCAGCCTTTAAACGGAATTTCTGACACATGCTACAACATGGATGAACTTTGAAGAAATTATGCTGAGTGAAATAAGTCAGTCATCAAAAAACCCAAATACTGTATGATTCCACTTATATGAGATATTTAGAGTAGTCGAAAATCAGAGAGAGAGAAAGTAGAATGGTGGTTGCCAGGAGCTATGGCAGGGGCTAGTTATGAGAGTTATTGTTTAATGGGTATAGATTTCAGTTTTAAAAGATGGAAAGTGCTCTGGATTTGGACAATGNGGGCCAGTGAAGCAATGTCCTCCACAACTAGACTGAAGAACAAAAGGACAGCAACTTGTCTGTTCCCCTTCCCCCAATTCTCCAGCACTGTTCCCATCCCCCAATTCCCCCAACAAAAGTCTTTAAACAAAAAAAGTTTAAGTGGGGTATCCCTTCACAGAAAAGATTGATTTAACCTCTTTGATATTTACATCATATCCAAAAACATCTTAGCAATATGTTTGTCAAAAGCCTCTGAAAAAAACTTTCACCAGTGCTTAGTACAAATTTACTAAATTCCTAATATTGAAGAATAACATATAAAATCAGAGTCAGGATGGATAAAATATTTAAAAGTCAAATGCAGAAAATTGTGTATTGTATGTTCCCCCTGGTGTTTTAGAAAAGAGAGGAGAAACTGTTGGTGATGGGATTCAGGGTATGCTACCCCAAAATATGGCACCTTGGCATATTAAATATTTTAAGCTGAAGTTTAAGAAAAAGCAGAGCAGGAAGGTCACTCTGACACGACAGACACCACAGACACTGCCACCACCACCACCAGCCCTTTTCCCCTGAAACAAGTCATAAAACCCTCATCTGAAATGTGCCCTTCCTAATAACCAGAGGAAAGGAGCATCCTTACCTTCAAAGACAGAGTCACCAAGAAGAACCCTACAAACAGGCCTTGCCCAGTTTCCCCCAGTTTACTACAATTACCCCATACTCCTTAACCCTTTCTATTCCTCCATGACTGTCTACTCTTCATCAAGTGTAGCATAAAACACTCAGGTCTTCATTTCCTTATGAAAGTTCCTGTGTCACATAAAACTTAAATAAATTTGTATGCTTTTCTCCTGTTAATCTGTCTTTGTCAGTTTAATTTTCCAAGCTGGACAGGGACACTAATGGGATCAAGGAAAAACCTCTTCTTCCCCAACAGTGACTAAAATAAACATAATATATTGTCTGTGTCAAAAGAAGACTCTTGGATATTTAAAACATGGTCAAATGAAAACTTCAATTAAAAGGCTAGAAGAGAATGTTGAGGAAACCTATCAAAAGGTAAGGAAAAAAAGAAATGGAAAATAGGAAAACTAAAATTTGACGACTTGACATTTGAAAAATCAGGGTGCCAGAAAGAGAATAGAGAAAAGAGATTAAGAAAATTATCTACATAGTAATACAACTTTTCCCAGAACTAAAGGTCATGGGTCTGCAGACTGAAAAATCCAGAGTGGCCCAAATAAGGAAATGAAAGAAAACCACACATCAAGGATATTCAGGGAAATAAAGGATAAAGAAAAAAATCCTACAGTTTCCAGAGAAAAAGACAGATCACATTAAATGAAACAATGCCTTCAAAATTGTGAGTCAGTTATTTCACAATCTAGAAATATGTTCTTAGCCAAACTAGCAATTAAGTGTGAGACTAGACATTTTAAGACTTATAAAGAAAATAATTACATCTTTCTTAAGGAGCTACTTGAGAACAAGCTTCAGGATCTGAGGAGAGCCCCAGTGAGAAGATGCAGCTGCACAATGCACATCTTGGCCTGCTAAGGTGATACTCGAACAGCCAATTTGGCCCCAAAGATCAAGTCAAGAAACTTAAAATGAAGTCCCAGAGCAGCCAAATTCTCAACCAGGAAAGATATTATCATGACTTTAGTCAACAATATTCATGAGAAACCCCTGCCTTGGACCTGGGATAGACAACTAGGGAAAGGAAAACCAGTTCAGTGCTGTTTTTGTTTTCCTTTAATTAATAGTTCCTTATACCTAATAAGTAGGCATCCCACCACCTCCCTTTTCCTCTTTCTTTGTTCATGTTGTAGAGTAGGCTAGGAACTACTCTAAACTGCCTATAATTTACTCAAGTTGGCACAAAGCACTCTATAGCTGCCTTTTCCAAATACCTGGAACCATTGGCATAATGTCTATATTCTCCAGGAACAATATGATCCACAAGGACAGGGACTGCAGCTGTGATGTTTATCGCTGTGTCCCAAACACAGTGTATGGCATATATTAAGATGCTTAATAAATATTTGTAGGATAAGTAAATGCACAAAAAAACTAATACTGGTTATGTCAGCTGATGGTGTTATATGTGTTTTTACATGTCTCAAAGTTCTATACTTTCTTTAATGAAGTTAAATAATGATTATAATAAAAATTAATAAAGGAAAGCATACAGGTAGCTGAATGTTTGCAAAACAAAATTTTTAATTAAATCCAGCATCCTTCAGATGATATACCCCCATTATAAGGTATACAAAAACTGTATTACCACAGGTCTTTCCTTTCTAGTCAATCTAATTTTCAAACAAATTACAAATTTTAATGGCTTCAAGGGGAGAGACAGAACCAAGTGTGTAAAATACAAATATTTTTAAGTCATTTATTATTATAAATCTTAATATTATGTTACTGGTAACTTATTTTCTTATATAAGTTTAAACCAGTTTTCATATGTTGACAGTTTTCACTTGATTCTCAGGTTAATAACACTAAATTTTATATTACTTCATATTACATTAATTAACATGTCAATTTTATATCCTCGGAATGTGAAAAAAATTCCAAATTCAAATTCTATCTATTCTTACTAAGAACACACTTAGTACTACAGAAACATTAAAGCTCATTTTTTATTTACCACAGACTTCATGAGCCTAAAGAATCAGGATGTAACAGCAAATAATCCCTATTTTCAGCTTTTAGATTTTTAATCAAGTAACCAACTTCTAGGCATAATTTATATACGTATTATATTGTTTCCAAATAGTAAATATTATGAGTTTAAGAACAGGCGTTTGAGGCAGAGGTCAGCAATTTTTTTTTTTCTGTAAAGGTTCAGGTAGTAAATATTTTAGGCTTTGGAGGCCACAGGATCTCTGTCACAACCACTCAACTCCATTACTAGTGGTAGAAGTTGCTACAGAGAAGATGTAAATGAATAAGCATGTGGCCATGTTCCGATAAAGCTTGATTTATAAAAATTAGCAGAAGGAGGCTGGCCGAGTGGCGTGTTGGTTAGGAGTTGGCTTGGGACACCAGCTCTGAGCAGCAGAGCCCCNCGGCATTAGGAAGGTTGAGACCCACTGATCTACAGTGTACATGTAATACTATTGTAATAAAAAGTTATGTAATGAAAAGATAAAATAGTTATCCTAAAATCAAACCTCTTTTAATGAAAAGCTTTAAAAGAACATGTGTGTTCCACATGATTGAGAAAAGCTAGACACCTTACATAGTGTTTCCTAAACGTTTTGATAACATTAGATGCTTTCAGAATCTGATAGAAGCCTCAGATAGTTTCCCCTCAAAATGCAAATATACACCAAAGGTACCCTACAATATCTAGGCATGCATTTATCCCTTTGAAGTCTTTCTATAAACCTCCTAGTTTTCTGCTTGCCCTGAGAATTCCCTCTTAGTACTCTCAGTTCTAATTAATCCTCACAAGAAATAGATTATTTTTTTAGAAGCAGGGGGCAATCTGTACATCACTCTCACTGTTTAACTCCTATTCCAATATATGTAATACATGGACATATGACTGCCTACTTGAACCTACAGCAAGTTCCAAAAACACCGATGTGATCAACGAAAGAAAATCATCCTGTGCCACCAAGGGTTGCTATTGCCAAGGTAACTGTTCAAGGTTGGTAACAGTAGCATTTTTAGAATGCCTTTGAAACAAGAGGCTCAAAGCACAAAGCTTTATTTTATTAAATCTCAAAACACAATCTGTTTCACAGACAACAAACCTGGGCATATTGAAAGGATTGCTTAAGGTGAGGCAACAGCAAAGAAAAACCCTGAAGACTTGGCTCAAGGAGAAACTACAAGCACACAAAAGCAGCCCTCCTGGTAAACAGATTTCCTTTTCATTCTAGCCATTTCCATCTGTTTCCATTCCAAAGTTCCATTAAACAACTGGTAGCTTCCCCCATTCAACTACCCTTTCTTGGCTCACAGGCTATTTAGCCCCAGGCCAGCAACAGGTGTTTTTATAAGGTGTTCCATCTCTAAAAACATTAAAATTTAAAATGTGTACTGAAATAATTTGCAAACACAGGAGCCCCAAAGTTTTGCAAAAAATTCTCCCTGCTCCCTAGCTCTAACTCCACCTTTTCCAATTCTACTTTAATTACCATTCACTTCTCCACTCAAGCAGCTCCTCAACAGATATTAATTGGGAGTTTGGAGCCAGTCATTCTGCTAGGCTCCAGGGGATACATAAATGAACATAACAGTGTGCCCTAAAATCTTACCTTCTGGTAGGGGAAAATGATAGGCAAATGAAGGATAGCAGAATATGCCACCCTAAAATATGCCACTTTGGCATAAGGATTATTTTGAGCTGAAGGCAACCGAGAAAAAACAGATACAAGAAAAGCTCCAGGCCCTACTTGCCTAAAAGCAGGACATAAATTTTTAAAACGTGTCCCTCTTCCTCTGCCTACCAAGGACAAAAGTTAATCCCAGGAGACAACTTTAAAGCCTTATCAATGGAAAAGACACAAAATTAAATCTGTATAACAAACCTTACTCTTGTTTACCTTGCTTTTCCTGGTTATCTCCCCATAACTGGCCTTTCTGACACCTTTCTTTCATCCGTGGCTGAAGATGGCACATACATTGGAGTTCTAAACCACTGTTTTGAGCTACTCATTTTTCCTTGGGTATCTCACATGTATACATGAGTTATACATGTTAATAAATTTGTTTGTTTTTCTCACTAATCAGTCTTTTGTTATAGGGAGAACCAGGCAAGAACTCAGAAGGGTAGAGGGAAAACTCTTTTTTCCTCCTCTAAGTAAACAAATGACTAAAATACAATGAACTAAGGTTTGTTACTACTTAGTACCTAGAAATAACTATCAGATTTGTGGGTGGAAGAAAGAAAAACATTGATTAACTCAGCTTCAGTAGGTCAAGAAGCTTAATGGTGAAGTGTCAGAGAAGGTAATTTGAGAGGACGTAACCACTGGTTGGCCTGCAAGATGGACGCAGGCAATCAGAGGCTCCTTCATCTCTTCCCGTCCTTGGAAAGTATGTTCTGCCACCATACCCACTGTAGGAGCTGTTCCAAGGACACAGCCATGAGATAAGGTGTTGAGACTACCTGGAGCCCAGTTAAGACCTTTTAAGATTCTGGTGGGCAGGTGCAGAGATCTACTCATCTTGTGACCACCCAAGACAAGCCTCAAAAATAAGTTCCCTTGCTTTTTAAAGCTGCCACCTACCTATCTGGAGTGGTCTGCCTCTTTTTTCAGTCTCTCTCTGCTCTTACTGTGGGAAGGGGAAGGTGCGGTGTTGGTTTCAGATTTCACCTAGGAAGCTCCTCAGATTGCAGACCAACAAACAGCCTGACATGTTGCTGGGGAAACAAGTCCCTACATATAAAGACATGAAACAGAAGTGGTGAAACCCATAGTATAATGGGGTTATAGGGTTCAGGACACATTACCCTGTGGCATATTGAAGGAATATGAGAAACAGAATTTGAGAAATGAGGTACATGAAGTGCAAGAGGTCAATTAGGTACAAGAACTAACTCCG